TATGTGACATATAAATAGGCAAACGGGAAATTCTGATTCTATAATAAGAACCGAGAAAACACGTGGTCCAATGAAAGTAGACCCGAATGGCAATTGATATATGATTCGGGTGAAAGATTTATCCAAATAATATAATTATGCGACATATAAATAGGCAAACGAGAAATTCTGATTCTATAATAAGAACCGAGAAAACACGTGGTCCAATGAAAGTAGACCCGAATGGCAATTGATAAAAGGAGGTACTTAATGGGGACAATCAAATAATGGTCGCACAGACATTGGATGAGTGACGCTAGCTTGGCCGTGTAGACCGATGCCCGCGGTTTAATGGCAGTGGACGTGTGGTGGCAGTCCGATGACAGGAGACGGAAAATGGTGGCTAACCAATGGTGCATAGGTTGTGATGCCTAGGTGATAACTATTATGTAAAACTAGTCATGCTGCACCTATCCGACGACGGTGAATGTGCCGTAGATGCAGGTTGTACCTTAGATGTCATCTAAAATGATAATATTGTTTTTTTGATATTAATGATTTGGGTGTTATAAATGTAAAATTTTAAGTTTAGGTGTAGATATGTAAATATAAAAGAATTGGGTGGTATGTAAGTAAATGTCCCTTTTATATATTGCCACATGTCATACAGCTGGCCACAATTCCTACATGTATTATTATTTATAAATAGGGCTTTGAAGAAAGAATAAAATGTCAATTTTTTTATATAAATGATAAAATAATTCTTAATTTTTTTAAAATGGGGTCGAAATAATCCAAAAAAAAAAGGAAAAAAATATTTCATCTCACGTCTGCACATATGGATGGTTGAGCATCGGCGGCTATGTCGCTCGTTGAAGACGTGCATGCGACATAACCGCCGATAATTAGACGTGTGGATGGAATATTTTCTCGAAATAAATGACTATCAATGTTCAATTTTCTTTTTTAAATAAAATTTTGTTCTAAAACGGTTATATAATTTTACGATAACATGTAATATAATTGTTTTTTTTTGCATTTGCTGTCCTACATGTAATAAAATCATCTTCACTTTTATGTAGAAATATATGCTGTTTCATAAATTAATGGGAATGTTACATGCATCCCACTCAAAACTTGCTATTTACAAAAATACCATCCTCTTTCCTCCATTTATCAAAATTCAAGCTAAGACTTTGGCTCATATTTTTCATTTTATTGAATTCTCAATAATTTGGATAAATCGATTTAAAATTTCAAAAAAATTATCTTGATGATAAATAATATATAAATTATCCCTAAATTAATATACTCATAAATTTATAAATAAAATAAATATGAAAGAATCAAAATATTTTTTAGTATATTAAAAAATTAAGTAGCACAAGCATTCCCATTTTTCTTATTCGAATCTCTCTTACGCACCGAATGTTTCTCTTAAAAGTAATGGAAAAAGTATAAATAAAAACTAAAAAAATGAAAACGGATTCTAAGGACCCATTTGGAGTAGCTTATTTGATGCTGTGACGTTTTGAAAACTTGCCTGACTTGTTTGGGTAAACTGCGTTTTGACAGCTTATGCGTTTTCAAAATGTTGAAAATAGCGTTTTCACACCACACATATCTAGGTGAGGTGACAACTTTCTGGCAGCGATCTGACTTTTTCAAAAAATAAAAATTTATAATATACACCGCACCTAACTTATCAGCATATTATTTTTAATAAGCTGGAGCTGCCCCAAATAGACAATGTCAATTTCAATAGAAATTCAAAAAAGAATAATCATTATCACCAAATAATAAAAATAATAATAATAATAATAACAACGCATATAAATTTTTGGGTCATTTTAAAGGGATAATTGCATACATTACATCTAGAGTACTGTTATATTCAAATATTGCGCCCAATTTCTTATGTACCTATATACGTAACAGTTAAAATTTCATAATTATATGTATAACACTCAAATTTTGAACATCAAATAAAAAATATTGAATGTTATATAAAACATGCAATTTTAAAATTTAAATATGTCAACAAATAAAGATTACGTGGCATGCTTGTCAAATTCCGTTTTGGCACAATTTGTATGGGACTTTCCATACTTTAAACTAAGGGTCCGTTTGGGGCAGCTTATAAGTGCGGATGGCGTTTTCAAAACGTGAAAAAGCCGCCGTACCGTTTGGTTCGCGCGTTTCGCCAGCTTATCCGAAACTGCGTTTGG